CTAAGGCCCACTTGACTTCACATTCCAGGATGTCTGGCTCTAGGTGAGTGATCACACCATCGTGGTTCTCTGGGTCGTGAAGATCTTTTTTTGGTACAATTCTTCTGTGTATTCTTGCCACCTCTTCTTAATATCTTCTGCTTCTGTTAGGTCCATACCATTTCAGTCCTTTATTGAGCCCATCTTTGCATGAAATGTTCCCTTGGTATCTCTAATTTTCTTGAAGAGATCTCTAGTCTTTCCCATTCTGTTGTTTTCCTCTATTTCTTTGCATTGATCGCTGAGGAAGGCTTTCTTATCTCTCCTGGCTATTCTTTGGAACTCTGCATTCAAATGGGAATATCTTTCCTTTTCTCCTTTGCTTTTCACTTCTTTTCTCAGCTATTTGTAAGGCCTCCTCAGACAACCATTTTGCCTTTTTGCGTTTCTTTTCCATGGGGATGGTCTTGATCCCTGTCTCCTGTACAATGTCACGAACCTCTGTAAAACCTTGACAAATCCAGCCTTGATTTAGCTGATGACAAAGGCCAGGGTGACCCCTGCAGAAACCAGTCAGATAAGGCCAACAATGATGGAAACTGGGAGATGGGACCGGCTTGGAAAGCACAAGCCCACCTTAAGGGGACTGTTCAATCCAGCTAATTGTTGTCATCTCAGAATGAAGGCCCTCTAGTATCAGATGTACCTCAAGAAATCAGATTTCATGTAAAAATCCAAATTAATAATTTTTAAAATAATTTTATATTTTGACTGTGCTGGGTCTTTGCTGTTCTTTGACCTGTCATCTGGTTGCTATAATAAGCGGGAGCTACTCTCTAGCTCTCATTGCAGTGGCCTCTCTTGCTCTGAGCACAAGCTCTAGGGCTCCTGGGCTCTAGGGTACAGGCTGAATAGTTGTGGTACACGGGGTTAGTTGCTCCTTGGCGAGTGGAACCTTCCCAGATCAGGGGTCAAACCCATGTTTCTTGTATTGACAGGGAAATTCTTCACCACTGAGCCACAGGGAAGCCCCTTAACTAATTTTAAACTATGACATCCAGTCATATTGATAATTAGGACCCTTAATATGATGGGATGAGAATGACACTTTCTTTCTGTGCTCTCTTAAAAACCCAGGGCCCCAGTCTAATCATGAGAAAAACATCAGAAGAATTGCAATTCAGAGAAATTCTACAAAATACCTGACCAGTACTCCTGAAAACTGTGAGGTCAATAAACAAGGAAAGTCTGAGAAACTGTCACAGCCAAGAATGGCCCAAGGAGAAAAGACAACTAAATGTAACAATGGTTATCTCCTACCTGAGTTCTTGGAACAAAAAAGACACAAGTTAACAACTAAGGAAATCTGCCTGAAGCATGGACTATCCCTATTGGTTCACCCTAGAGAAATGGCAACCCACTCCAGTATTCTTGCCTGGGAAATCCCTGGTGGTCTTATATAACTGTAATGACTGAGCACATCCCTATTGGTTATTTCATTTTTAACAAACATACCATACTACTGCGTGATGTTAATAATAAGGTTAACTATCGTCACAGTTTTTCAGTCATTTAAAACTGTTCAATTTTTTTTCCCCTAAATGTGGTCTAGGTGGCAGTATGTGTTCAGACTACATTCTCCTAGCAGTTCTAGTCCCCAAACTTGCCTTCCCACCCGTCTCATTACACAGTTAAGATTGTTGTCATTTAGTCACTAAGTCATGTCTGACTCTGCAAATCCATGGACTGTACCCTGCCAGGCTCCTCTGTTCATGGGATTTCCCAGCAAAGAAGTGGGTGCCATTTCCTTCTCCAGGGGATTTGCCCGACCAAGGGATCGAACTCAGGTCTCCTGCATTGGCAGGATTCTTTATGGCTGAGCCAAAAGGAAATTAACCTTCCTCATATTTATTTTCACAGGGTTCTAATACTCAAAACTTTGTTGAACACTTGGCAATGTCCAAACCTCTTACCTGGGATTCAACTTTCTAATACTAACCAACTTTCCAGCTTTCTCATTGGCCCCTCAACTCTAGCTGAAACAATGTCCATCTATCTCTACACCAGCTGTTTGCCTCTGTTTCCTTCAATCACCCCTGTCCGCCTTCTTTTATTAGAATCCTTCCTCTCCTTCAAGGTCTTTGTTGAAATGCCATGCTATCAGTTAAGCCCATCAGTACCTTCCTCTTGACCCCAGCCCAGGGCTTCCTGTTCTTCCCACACACGTTGCACTCCTCTGATCAATGCACACTACCTTCACTAACTGGGCACTTTTTTGAAGCACCAAACAATTCTGTCCACCTGCTTTGGACAGGCAGGTGAGATGGCAAATGCATAGAAGAAATGGTGTGGATCTTAGCACCAATGGCACAACTTACTTGTTGCATGATTTTGGGCAAAACCATCACCCACTGCCACTAGAAGGTATGGAGAGGATGAAAGCAATGAAGTCCACAGGTGGGTACTCGTCTTAGAACGTGAAGTGCTTTGCCCACTGGAAAAACTTGACATTCCCTCAAGCACCCTACGGTGCTATGCCCACTGGCAGCAGAATAACTTTACACTGGACAAGAAGTCAATTTTTTTTTTTTATTGGGAAACCAATGTAACAAACCTAGACTTATTGAAAATGAAATCAGTAACTAAGACTCTGCAGGCCCCATCCCCAACCAGCACCAAGGCCTCTGCTTGGCCTGACCCCAGCTTCTTTAGTCCCCAAAAGAACAACCACGTGAAGAACCTGGGGTCAACCTCAGGGCTACTTTCCCACACTGCAACTCCCCATACCCCACCCTCAGTTGACACACCCCAGATCAGCAGGCTGGGTCTAGGCCCAAGGAGGGAATAGTGAGGTTTCCTGGGTGGCAGGGAATCACAGCCAAGCCCCAACCTGGTCAAAATTCCAAGTTAGCAAAGGAAGAC